TATAAAAATATACTAAAAATAAGACATTTTGTGTACAAATTGGGCATCCGACTCGGGCTTGAGCTTTGGGCTTTGTATAAGGGTTGGGCTCGGGCTTAAGATCTTGGCCAATGGTCAAGTCGGGCTCGGGCTCGGGCTTGCACATGTTTGGTTGATAAAGAAGCCCATGTTAATTATAAAACTATGATTTTTTACAAATTAATATAAAATTTGTTATTTAAATATTATATAATAATATTTACCATATATGTATATAACTTCCAAGTTGAGCTTATCAGGGGTTATTTAGCTTGGGCCCTATCCGCTAAACTCATCATTGGACTCTGAAAGTTTGATACCTAATTAGACTTCAGATCTGATTATCCCTGATAATGTGTGAGCATGGTGCATATATTAGCTAGACCTAACTCAAAAGAAAATAGTTTCTTGAACCTGCAAATTTATAGATCTAATTGGGTTTGGTTAAGTTATAAACGATTTGTTAATTTTTATTATTAATTATTAAAATATTGTTATTATTAAATTACTGTATTTATTTAAAATATAGTAATTTCTTGAAATTATCATATTTTTAGAAAAAATGCTAATTTCTTGGCTAAAACTAATTAAATATAATTTTCTGGTAATTAAATATAAATTTTTGGTAATTAAATGTAATTTTCTACTATTTATAGCTTAAATTAAAATTATTGTTAATTATAGTTTAAAAATAATTATTGTTAATTATATTACTATTAATAATTAAAATATAATATTTTTTTCATTATTATTCAGTATTTTTTGCATTAAAATACATTTTTGGTTGTTTTTACTTTTTCAAAATTTTATTTCTTTTTTGTCAGAATGGGTCGTCCGTTCGGTTCAAACGGTTGGACCATTCGACCCAAGAACCAGTTCGTTGTCTAGTTCAGGTTTAAATACCTTGATTTCTATTATTACTATTCTCTCTCTCTCTCTCTCTCTCTTAAATGTAATAATAACATGCATTAAAATAAGAGGCTTTGGAAAACCCAAAGGTTTCTCTTTTATAGTGTGTAGCTTTATTAATCTAATCAAAATAAGCAATGATTATTGTTTTATATTTTTAAAACAAAAGAAAATAAGAAAAATGAAAAAAAAAGATAAATAGCTTCTCTTAAAGGAGAGACAAGCTGACATGGACCGTCCAATTTTAATAATATATATATATATATATATATATATATATATATATATAATCAAGATAATCAATGATTATTGCTTTATATTTCGAAAAAAAATAAAAAAATACAAAAAAATGGAGAAAATAGATAAATAGCTTCTCTCAAAGGAGAGACATGCTGACATGGACCGTCCAAATTTTATTATATACTAGCAGGGACCCGTGCAATGCACGGGATTTGTTAAGCAAAAGCAAAATAATAGAAACACATAAGAGTATACAATTATTTTTATTCTTTTTACTTTTTTAATAATTAATAATTACTTATATTTTGAGCATAATTAAAAAGTATAATTAATAGTATTTTATATTAATAAGGGTATTTACTGAAAATAATTAAGAGTATAATTAATAGTATTTTATTAATAAAAATACCAAAATTTATTAAAAAAATACCTAGGGCAGAAATTATTGAAAATATTGAAAATTAGCTGTATTTTTTATTAACTATGGTATTTATTTAGTTATTTAATTTATTTTTACTGAAAGTAAATGCAAATTAATTTTGTAGTGACTAATATGCAAAAATAAATGTTGAAAATATTGGCAATTATTGAAAAATACTTATATGCAAAAATTACTGAATAATAATGAAAACACACAAAAAATTAATTAAAAATCCGAAAATTCTTAAAAGCCTAAAGCTTAATTAAAATACTAAAATTAATGTAAAAATTAAATTAATTGTATTTTATAGAAAAAAATACTGAATAATAATGAAAAACGTATTTTAATTATTAATAGTAACATAAGTAACAATAATTATTTTTAAACTATAATTAACAGTAATTATAATTTAAGCTATAAATTGTAGAAAATTACATTTAATTACCAAGAAATTAGTAGTTTTTTTTGAAAATATTTTAATAGCTAACTATATTGTAATTACATTTAATTATTTTTAAACTATATTTTAAGTAAATACAATATTTTTATAATTATAATATTTTAATAGCCAACAATATTTTAATAATTAATAATAAAAAGTAACAAATCGTTTATAACTTAACCTAACCCGATTAGATCTATAAATTTGCAAGATCAAGCAACTATTTTCTTTTGAGTTATGTCTAGCTAGGATATGCACCATGCCCCTACATTATCAAGGATAATCAGATTCGAAGTCTAATTGAGTATCAAACTTTTGGAGTCCAATGATGGCTTTAGCGGATAGGGTTTAAGCTAAACAACCCTTAATAAGCTCAACTTGGAAGTTATATGCATATATGGTAAATATTATTATATAATATTTAAATAACAGATTTTATATTAATATATATACAGAAATGTTATATAATTTTTTATACTAGACTAGAATTAAATAAAAATTTTAATTTATAAAAAATCATAGTTTTATAATTAGCACGGGCCTCTTTTTCAACAGAAAATGTGCAAACCCGAGCCCGAGCCTAGCCCAACCATCAGGCCTAAATCTTGAGCCCAAGCCTAGCCCTTATATAAAGCCTGAAGCTCGAGCCTGAGCCCGAAGCCCGATCTGTACACAAAATGTCTTATTTTTAGTATACTTTTATAAACTAATATTATATTAATTTAGTAATAATTTAATAAATTAGTAAACTAATTTATATTTCCTAATAGTAAATTGATATTTATTATATATAACATATGTACTTTTTTATATATGTAATAGTATCGGGCTGGGCTCGGGCTTATTTGAGAAAGCCTGAGCTCGAGCCCACGGGCAAGCCGTCAGGCTACCCAACCCATGAATAGGTTTAATTGTATATATAAACAATTATATACATAAAAAATCATATGAAATAAAAATTTAAACATCTTTTTCAATTTGTTTTTTTTTTTTATAAATGGACCTCTCATAGCTTGGCCTAGTCCGCGACCTGGCCTGGCACAAGGCTCGACCCATGGATCAGCCCGGCCCACGGCACGACACAAGCTCGTGCCAAACTGACCCCCCAAATTATCCTAGAGTAGGGAGGCACGGCCCAGGATGTCTCGTGGGCTAGCACGACACATCCCACGCTTTGTGTGGGCCGCATGTGGGTCATGCCGTGTTGGCCTAGCACGACCCGATTTACACCTCTACTTGAACTTGCCCAATACTGGGGACAAGGCGGGGAAATTCAAGGATTTCCCATCCTTGAAGAGGAGCGGGGTGCCTTGCCCCTGAACTTGCCCGACATTGAGGAGTGCTTGCCTTGCCTTGAACCCACCTGACATTGGGGACGGGGTGGGGATGGGGTAGAGTGTCTTGACTCTAGAGCAAGGATAGGGAGGGGGTGCTCCGTGGTGAACCCACTCCGTTGTCATTCCTATATAATTGTTAATTATTAGTGAAATTATTAAAAATGTTAACTTTTGTAATTATTTTTATTTATTTAAAGTTAATCAAAGTTTCATTTAAAAATAATAAAAATAATAACAATTATTAAAATTACTATACATTATTAATAAAACTAAATTTATTAAAAAATACGTGTTCATATTAAATTTACATTAAATGAAAAATACAACTATTAAAATTTTAGATATTAACAATAACTTTGGATACTTTTTAGTTAGTTAACAACAATTTTTGATTATTATTTTAATATTAATTAATAGTAAATAAAATTATTAAATCTTTTAGATTTTCTTGTGCATCACATGGGTCCCGCTAGTAACTAAATAAATACCATAGTTAATAAAAAAATGCAGCTAATTTTCAATATTTTTTAATATAAAATATTTTTTAATTATTTTTAGTATTTTAATTATTAATAAAACATGTTTTACATTTTAAAATTTCATTAATTTTTATCATTTTTAATAAGTTCATTATGCACAATAAAGGTCCCAACTCATAAAAATCATTAATTAAAAATGCATTGATACAAAGTTATCTAATAATATTATTAAAACTATCAATTAATACTTTTTGTAATTAATGTTGGTCTTTTTTCGTTATTATTCAGTAATTTTTGGAATAAAATACTTTTAATAAAATGAGTTCTGCATTTTAAATTTTCATTAATTTTTATCATTTTTAATGAGTTTATTATGCACAATAAAGGTTTCAACTCATAAGTTATCTAATAATATTATTGAAAGTTTAAAACTATCAATTAATATTTTTATATTTAAATTTCTTATTTTTATTAGTGTTTATTAAGTTTGATTTTTAAGTGGAATTGAAACACATTTTTAATATTTACTAAGTTTTGTTAATATTTATTTTTAGTGAAAGTTTAGTGGATTTTTAAATTAATAAATTTTTGATTGTTTAACCTAAACCTATTTATATTATTACTATTCTCTCTTTTAAATGTAATAATAACATACATTAAAATAAGAGGCATTGAAAAACTTAAAAGTTTTTTCTTAAATGTCTTTTTTAAATATAATAATAACATGAATTAAAATAAGAGACCTTAAAAAATTAAAAAATCTCTCTAATATCGTGCAACTTTATTGATTACTATTTTATATTTTTAAAATAAAAGAAAATAAGAAAAAATAAATAACAAATAACTTCTTGAAGAAGTAAAGACATGCTGAACAAACCGAAAAATTGAAAGACGGTGCTATACTTTTCTTCTCTAGTGCTCTCTTCTCACGAACAAAAGATGCCACGTACACAAATAGCTGTTTCATGTGTGTCTTACAAATCATCTTACACCACAAATCTGCAATATTATGTACGGACAGTTGCGGGACCCACTTGAAATGACACAGTGGCGTAAAATTGTGGTGTAAGATGATTCGTAAAGCATACAAGGAAAAATGTAGTACGTGTGTTTAGCATTGCTTTCTTCCGAAATCCTCCCATCTTCCCTCTGAAGAATCCAATTCTTTTCTCGCAGTCCCAGTCCCAGTCCCAGTCCCCGAGATTCTTGAACCAGCTCCATAGTCCAGCCTCCACATCTACAGCGGATCGACAATCACTGCTAGCACTGGGTACTCTAACCTATTTATTTTCTTTCTTATTATTAGTGGTCTTATTATTTTGGTCTCTGGAAACCCTTGATTTTCTTCATTTTCAATTTCAAGCTCTGGTTGTGGTATTTCGACGTTGATTTGATTTCTTGATGCCTCACAGAGATGGATGATAGCTGTGCCGTCTGCGCCGAACAGCTCGAATGGGTGGCCTATGGACCTTGTAGCCACCGAGAGGTCTGTTCGGCTTGCGTCGCTCGCCTACGGTTCATCTGCGACGATCGTCGTTGCTGTCTTTGCAAGACGGAGTCCAAAATTGTCTTCGTCACCAAGGTTACGGGGTTTGACCTTTACTGTTTTCATGTCTGCAAGTGTTCATGTAAAGACATTAGTGTTCTTATTGGTATATCGTTTTTGTTTTGTGGCCTCATGCAAGTTGCGAGGATTATTATTGTTTATATAGTTGTTTCTTTTTACATTTGAATTTTAGGCTCCTGGTGTCTTTTGGATTCAACCGGGAATTGTTGGTTTTACGTTAGATTCATTTCTTGGTTTCTTGGAATACTACCACGTCGTTTGAATTGGTGATTTTAGTGGGGATGAGTGGATCTTTGTTTTTTGTTTGTACTAGTATCAGTGCTGTCAACATTGTTGTTTAGAATTTGTAGCTTTTTATTGGTTGGCGTTGTTGTTTAGAATGTGTGGCTTGTTGTCTGTTTTTCAGGCTTTAGGAGACTATACAAGGATAATAAACGATTTTTCAGTCTTCTCATCTGATTCAACAGAGGGTCAAGTCAGATCATTCTGGTACCATGAGGACACACAAGCCTACTTTGACGATATAGACCACTACAAGATGATCAAAGCAATGTGTAGGCTTTCATGCAGTGTATGTGACAAGATGGAGGATCGAGGGAATAATGGCTCGAAGAGAAGGGGGAAGTTCAAGAGCATTGAGCAATTGAAGGGCCATTTATACCACCAGCATAGATTATTCATGTGCAGTTTGTGTTTGGAAGGAAGGAAGGTAAGATCGCTTTACATGAGAAACCCACAATGGCTGTTGGCTTGTTTGTATTTCTTGTCTTAAATCTCTATCGGGAAGGTTCATTTTAGATGCAACAAGAGCAATGAGTGCTTTATGTTGCTCCATATGTATTCCTTTTTTCTTTCTCTGGTTTTCTTTTCTCGCATCACATGTAAAAGGAAACCCACTGTAACTGGATGCAGATGTTCCAGATTAATGGATAAAGTTTCCTGTCAATCAAACATCATTGCACAGAAAATAAGGGGGTAGTGTTGCAAACATGTCTTGTTGGGATAATTATAAACCCCCATACAAAAAAAAAACCACATGCGCACGCAGAAAGCATTTCTTTTCCAAGCCAAATGGAGCTTTTTTATTTGTCAGCTGTGAAATACAAGGAAACATGTAGCAGTGGAACATGAATGCTAAGGTTTTCGTGCATTTTATATGCTTAGGAGTGTATAGTCAGCTGAATAGAGTGCATTGATTTTGTTTTTTGGAAAACTGTGTGTGAATGCTTAATAACTGAAACTTGGCAGCTTGTTAACTAGTCTTTGGACCATGACCTGTAGTACAACTTAGGTAATGGTTGAAAGTTGTTCAATGTGATTAAATGTGATGGGACTATTACTGGATGAACTATACATTTATAACAGATTCTTCCTTTTATTCCATTATTCTTTGGAGGGCCCTAATTGAAAAGTTGGGTTTGGTAGAGTGGCATAAGTTTTCTTGTTCTAAAGGCCAAGGTGGGCAGTCCACTCCTATAAATAATGGATAAAGCTTTGTTTAAGCAAAATGTTGGATCTGGTATCTATCAGAAAAAAAAAACAAAAGGTTTGATCTGGCTCATTTTGTTAAGGAGTCAGAAATTTGTATTTTATGTTGGTTTATAAAGCTATATTTTATCTCATTACTGATGGCAGTTTGGATTTGAAGAAATTTGGTGGGAGATTTTTTATTTTGGTCACATCCAATACTTATGCTACTAGTGTTTGGAGAGGATTCTCAAAAATTTCTTGGATTTAAACAATTTGGCATCATTTAAAGTTATAAAAGGTGATTGGTATTGGAATGGCTGCTGAGATAGTGGGGCAATCACAATCTTACTTGTGCTGGAATTTGCTATATAATACCACATTTTAACCAAAGTAGTTAGGTCACCATCCCTTTTTGTGGGGATTGTTGGGCATCATCATTGCCTCATTGGAAGATTGGCATTTCTCCCCTCCTAGACCCCCTAGCAGAATAGGCATTAAGCATCATCACTAAATCTTGTCTTGAAGGCTAAGAGGGCACTGATTGCAAGTCCAAAAGGAATTCTGCAACTCTTGAGGTAGGAATGTTCAATTCCAAACAGAGTGGGAAAAAATCCTAAATTCATAGTTTTCAAGGCACCAAGCCAAGGGCCACAAGGCTAGGTGACAGGGGGAGCATTGTCACCTAGGCACCCACCTAGATGTTGCCTGAGTGATATTTTTTTAACCCTAAATCCCAGGGCAATCCCCTATGTTCCATAGCAACGAGGTTGAGAAATGATCTTTTACTAATTAAGAATGTTTTGAGAATAGAGTAGTGGAGCGGACCCCATTAGAATTTAGAAATACAAATCTAACATTCCAACTATCACAACCCTCAAAAGAGAAGGCATTCTCCATATGCTCGAGTAGGGCACCACTTCCCTTTACATCTTTATCCCCTATGAAATGTAAGTCCATTACAGACACATAAGTTAAAAGTTATTTCTAAGCAAAATACAAAAATGAATGCTCTTTATCCACTCACTTCATCATGAAATCTACTATGGTGTTCAACTGCAGCCCGTTAGAGGTTTTAGTGGAACTCGTGTACTGTTGGGACCTATTAAACTACTTTTTTTTATTACACCGGACTTTGTAAAAAGTCCATAAATCCCTCTTGGGGGATTGCTGGTTTGGTAGTAGACAAAATTGTAAGACATGAACACATAAAAAAAAAAATTGTAAGACATTGTTTTACTCCCATCCCCTCTCAAAAAAAAAAAGGAAAAAAAAATATTGTTTTTATGTCTTGGATACTGCCTCTGCTAGTCTTCATCTTTTGAGGGTAGATAACAAACTGTAACCGCAGACCTAGGGTCTTGAAATACCAATTTTGGTGTTATAGGAAATGCAATATCATAGTGTTAAACAAGGGTAAGGGAATATCTTCTTTGATCTATTGGTAACCAAATTGGTCGTCTCATTACCCAAGAAAAAAGAGAACAAATTGGTTATCTTCCTGAAGTATATACACCAAATCTCTGTTTGTAGTCCTGGACTTCCATTTATGGACATTTGAAAATCTTATTTATATATTTATATTTTAGATTCTCTATTTTGCTTATTTCTCAGTCAGAACTGGAGTTTCTGTTTTCTTCTCTTATCGGGACTTAGGGCCACTACATTGAAATATTTAACCATTTTTTCATTTTGGAATCATGTTTTCTCTTTTCCTTTTTTTTGGGTTTAATTTATGTATGTGATGGTCTCACCAATATTACTTGGGATTTTGCATCAGATATTTAGTTGTGAACAAAAACTATATACAAGAGCACAGTTAAATCGACATATAAACACAGGCAACTCAAAGGTTGATGGTAGTGAGAGTGAAAGAGGTGGCTTCATGGGGCATCCAAGGTGTGGATTCTGTAGATCTCCATTTTATGGAGATAATGAGCTCTACTCACATATGTCTACTGAACATTACACCTGTCACATATGCCAACGGTAACCTCAGCTTTCTGTTAGTGTGAAGTAAAGTTTGGCGGTTTTGCAATTCAAAGTAGCTTAAGCTTGTATTGAACCATTTTATTCTGTTAAATGCAGGCAGTATCCGGGACAATATGAATACTACAAAGATTATGATGATTTGGAGGCATGATATTATAAATTGTATCACGTTATGATTTCTATCTTTCTCAGGATTTTGTTGATTTCAAGTGTTTCTTTTGCAGATTCATTTCCGCCGAGAGCATTTCCTATGTGAAGATGGAGCCTGCCTTGCTAAAAAATTTGTTGTTTTCCCATCTGAATCTGAATTGAAGGTATTGGTTTTGATGAACCTGAGTATAGTAAATAAGTTCTTTATTATGACATCTTTATAATGCAAACCATGGATATCTTGAATGTCATATGGATCTTACTTCTAGATAGGTCATATTGTTACTCCCCTCAACATATCCTAGTATTTCTGACCATTCTTTGTGTTGCTATAGAGGCACGGAGCTATTGAACATGGGGGGCACATGTCTCGTTCTCAACGGAATGCTGCGCTTAGGGTACGTGAAAAATCCTTCTGATTTGTGCCTGTGGTAAGGTGTTCTAATTCTGTGACACATCTTTCATTATTTGGTAGGGATGGTAGGAAATAGTGAGTATCCTTTAGGCATTTTTTACTGTGTTCATCTCACATGGTTGTCACATTTTGTTTGTTGATGTTATTGTGATTGTAAAACCTTGTAGTTTTTCTTTTTGTGTACCCAGATACCAACTAGCTTTCGACATCGCCGAAATAGTGAACAAGATTATCGTCGTGGAAGGGGACAAGGACGAGGATGTGGACAGGGATTTCATCCTGATTCTTCAGATGATCAACTCTCACGGGCTATTCAAAGCAATTTTGAAATTGTAAATGCAGATAGCTCAGTCCATGACCTATCTTCTGGTGGACAAGATATCTGTGATCACAGAGAGACAAGTGAAATGGATACTGTCACTGAACCCTTTGAATCATTAGCTTCCACATTGTCTGAGCCATCTTCAAGATACTTGCAGGCATTAAGCCAAGGCTCTAGGAAAACAGCTCTGGAAGAATCCTCCTTTCCTCCACTTTCCATGGCACCAGGAAGCAGTCAGCAGAAACTCAAACATGATTCTGAAGGATTGGCTAATACTGCCACAATGGCTGCACGCCTTTGTCGCCGCAGTAATGGAACTGTGACTGTTCTCAATTCACCTCAGCCTAGGTCAGCAATAAGTCGTGGATCTGCACCATCATCATCTAGCAGTTCTGCCCAGTCTGGATCTATAACAAATTTTGGTCATGCATCATCATCATCAAGTCCTTCAAGTTCTACCCAGAGTAAGCAGGTGATAGCTAATGAGACAGTAGCGCTCAGTTATGCAAGTTTCACTCAGGCTAGGCCTGCAACAGCTCATGGACTTTTATCAAGTAGTTCTCCTAGTTCTTCATGGAAATCAAGTAGCATTTCTAGGGTCAACCATTCTGCTTCAGCTCCTAATCTTGTAGAGACGGCATCTTTGGACTCCACTATTTCTGATTTTCCTCCTGTTTCTGCAACACAAAATTCAAAGTTTACCTCCAATGACCAGTCTATGCTTAATGCAGAAGATGTTCACAATGCCAACAAGACTTTGGTTGAAAGGATCCGTGCTGCTTTAGAATTCAATGATAGTAAATATGCTGCTTTCAAAGAGATATCTGCAGAGTATCGTCAAGGTGTAATTAACACAGCTGAATATCTCTGTTACACCCATCAGTTTGGCTTGTCACATCTTGTTCCTGAGCTAGGTAAGCTCTGTCCTGATGCCCGGAAGCAGAGAGAGTTAATTGAGACTTACAATGTCAATTCATTGGGCATTATACGAGAAAATGGTTGGGGCAAAAGCAAATCAAGCAATATTCGTTTAAAAGATGGTAACGGAACCAATAAGCATAAGGGGAAGTCCATAGATGATGCTGACAGTAGCTCAAAGGATAACTTGGCAGATAGCATTATAAGCACTGTAAGGAAGCTTCAGTTAAATAATAAGCCTTCAGAAGAGTTAGAGGTATTATCGGAGGATGGATACCGTGCTTCCAGGGGAAGATCAGTGGCGTCAGTGCTTGATATTCAGGCAGGATATAGTTCTACCAATTTGCAACTTGCTGAGCCAATAAACCAGAATGATTCCAAGTCAGCTACTGGTGGTTTCAACCAGAACTTGAGTGATAGTGGAGGCAGCAAGCAACGGAAGAAAACTTCAAATTTTCATAGGGGTCGTCCGTCTTGGTGATGGCTCTGTAGCATCACTTTTGGACCTTAAAAATTCTGATAGTAAACCTGAACAAGAGGAAGAAACAACAGAAAATAGCAAGAGCTTGCCAGTTCGTGGTGTATGGAGGAACGGTGGAGGTCAGAAACTGGTGGCAATGACTCAGAGAGACCGAGGAAGGTGACAAGTGGGTTTTTTCTTCTTTTGATTGGTGGCTGGGATTGATGTTCATATATACATTTTTTTGTTTTACTTTTTTTCCTCGCAACTCATGTTTAGTTTTGAGTGCGGTTTTCATGCAATCCAGTTTACGAGGTTCGCAGCAAGCTACAACTTGAAGGGTATAGAACTATAGATCACATGAAATAAAGAGGAGACAAAATGTAAATTTAGAGGGGGGGGGGGTTTAGGATTTCCCTTCAGGAGTCCAATACTTTTTTTTTATGTTTTGGTATTTGTATTTCGATATGAAGGGGGCAATGTTATATACTGTTAATACTTGAGAAGAGTTGATGTTTAATTTGAAATTATCAACTGGCCAATGTTATATACTGTTAATACTTGAGCAGAGTTTGATATGAAGTAGGCAATGTTATATACTGCATTCCTGGATGTTCGAAAATAAAATGAGAACTGAGAACATTTTCGGTTTGATGTGGAAAATTGAAGAAAAAATGATACTTCTTTTTGAAACCAAATATATGTATAATATAAATGCATACAAAATAAAACAAAATACAAGGTTTTATTGCAAAAAATACTGAATAGTAATGAAAAAATAGTGTATTTAATTGTTAATACTTATAGTAATATAATTAACAATAATTATTTTTAAACTATAATTAATAGTAATTATAATTTAAGCTATAAATAGTAGATAATTACATTTAATTACCAAAAGTTATATTTAATTACCAGAAAATTACATTTAATTAGTTTTAATCAAGAAATTAGTAATATTTCTGAAAATATATAAAAATCAAAGTTTTATAATTAAATAAAAATTTAATTTGTAAAAAAATCATAGTTTTATAATTAACATGGGCCTCTTTATCAACAGAAAATGTGCAAGCTCAAGCCTGAGCCCGAGCCCGGTTCAACCATTGGGCCTAGATCTTGAGCCCGAGCCCAACCCTTATATAAAACCCGAAGCTCGAGCTTGAATTTGCCCGATCTGTACACAAAATGTCTTATTGTTAGTATACTTTTGTAAATTAATATTACATTAATTTAGTAATAGTTTAATAAATTAATAAACTAATTTATATTTCTTAATAGTAAATTGATATTTGTTAATAATTTAAGAAGCATATATATATACATATTATATAACATAAGTACTTTTTATATATGTAATAGTATCAAGCCTAGGTCGAGCTTATTTTAAAAAGCTTGAGCTTGAGCCACGAGCCTGAAATTTTGTCCAAGCTTGAAAACTAACGGATTAGGCTGGGCTGGGCTGTCGGGCTACCTAGTCCATGAATAAGTCTAATTTTATATATAAACAATTGTATACATAAAAAAATCATATGAAATAAAAAATTTAAACATCTTTTTTTTCAAATTTTTTTAAATGGACTTTTCATAGCTTGGCCCAGTCCACAGCCTGGCCTAGCCCAAGGCTCGACCCATGGACCATCCCGGCCCACGGTACGACATGGGTCCGTGCAGGCTCAGGCCGTGGGCCATGTCGAACCGACCCCTCAAATTATCGCAGGGGAGGGAGGCATGGCCCGTGACGCTATGTGGTCCAGCATGGCACGGTCTGCACTATGCCCCATTGGCTAGCACGGCACAGCCCACACAAAGTGCGGGCGGCATGTGGGTCGTGTCATGCTGGCCTAGCACAACCCGATTTATACCTCTACTTGAACCCACCCAATATTGGGGATGAGAAGGGGAAATTCGAGGATTCCCCATCCTTGATGAGGAGTGGGGTGCCTTGCCCCTGAACTCGCTCGACATTGAGAAGTGGTTGCCTTGCCCTGAACCCACCTGACACTGGGGACGGGGTGGGGATGGGGTAGAGTGGCTTGATTATGGGGCAGGGACAGGGATGGGGTGCCCTGCCCTGAACCCACCTCATTGCCATTCCTATATAATTGTTAATTACTAGTGAAATTAATAAAAACGTTAGATTTTGAAATTATTTTTATTTATTTGAAGCTAATCAAAATTTCATTTAAAAATAATAAAAATAATAACAATTATTAAAATTACTACAAATTATTAATAAAACTAAATTTATTAAAAATATTTATTCATATTAAATTAACAATAATTATTTTCTGTATAATCAACATTAAATAAAAAATACAATACTTTTAGCTAATTAACAACAAATTTTAATTATTAATGAATAGTGATGGTGCACGATCTGGTTGCTCTTAGCTGGATGGCAGCTCGGGTGTCGGTTGCTTAGGTAGCCAATCGAATTGCAAGATAAGTAGGATCAGAGAACCCGGGGTGCCTAACCCGGCGTGGTCACTCCGATGCTTAAGTTAGTATTTGCTGTAAGCAAGCTGAAAGTTTGAAAATTGGAGAGCTAGAATGCACTAAATTGTGCATACCTGGGTTCGAGGGGCTGGTGCCCTTATATAGATGAGCTGCCATGGGTCTCACGAAACCCCTCTGAGATCCTTGGCCCGCACCGTTAGGAGTCCGTTCCGCCCTAGGAGGTGGGTAATGTGCTAGATGATAAGGCCTATCGTGTCCTTCCGATCTGAGTGGGATGAAGATAAGACCTATGGTCGTGTGGCATGATCCCGAAGAGCTTGGAGACAGTTGGCATGCTTCTAGAAGTCCGTTATGTGTCACCTTGATTGGTTGGGCCATACTGAGCTACTCAGACCTCAGTCCTTGCCGAGGTGGCCTGACTCACTGAAGTGATAGGGAATGCTGATGTGGTAGAAAAATGCCTAGTCATAGTCTAGTCATCAGGTCACATCCACATGTCCACTGTTTAGTAAGTCGGGCCAAGTCACCCCTCATCAAATAGTAAATAAAATTATTAAATCTTTCATATTATTCCCACTAGTATATTTATAAACTATAAATCCACAAATCAAATCAACTTACCAACTACCCGATTGATATAACAGGGATATTGGCTTTCACTGGTGTTTTTTCCCTTGCTTCTCAGATGCAATTTGATGATACTATGATTGGAGGTGATGTTTAAATTATGATCAACAAAAAATAAATAAATAAAAATGTCTGAGGAGAGTAAATCATAAATTTCCCAAAAAAAATCTGAAACCCTTTTTCTGAGTATCGGTTGCCATAAAAATTGATACATATTATTGATATTATTGTTCTAAAAAACGACTTAGAATTAGAATTATTCTGGCCATTGATTTTTAAGTTGATGATTCAATCATTCAGTTCGAATAGACGGCCTATTTTAACAAAAAAATAAAAATGGCCAAAACTATTGAACGTATCAATAAAACGGATTTTGACCAAGGACTAAATTTGAGATAACATAGAATCGATTGCCTGAAGAATTCTCGAGCAAAACGGTCCGACCATCCGAATGAACGGCGGTTCGAAATTTCGGACCTAAATGACGTAGGTTCAATATAGGATCTATCTGGTGGGGGGTGTTCATGCTCACATGGGAAAGACGATTTCAAGTTACTGGGGGCCCAGATTACAGCTAATTAGCGAAATTGGTGCCATATGCTCTTTCTATATCTAACTAATTCTATTTTCTTTTTCTTTTTTTTTTTTTTTATATATATATACACAAAGCAGTGAACAGTGGAAAGGAATAATAAACACCTAACTCAACATACCCACGTATATCCCTGTAATGCTGCGCTAAGATACAATACCATATACCCATCTACCAACTAACCAATTATACCTTTTTTTTTATACCTGATTTTACTTTTTCTTTCTTTTTTTTTTAAAGCATGAAGCGCCATCATTGGAGAATTCTTAGGAGTGGAGTCCAACATCAACATCAGATGAACCTAAACTAAAAAGCCAAAAACAGAGCAAGTTGTCTTTGTAACTTATAAAGAGCAAATAACTCCTAAGGTTGAAGTTTGAACGAGGCGAGGTCCTATTCGATTATCGTCACCACTCACCAACCGCGGTCTACGGACACGTGTAGGTCGCCCAACCTCTCGGGAGCCCTGTTGGTGTTGGGATGACAATTTTCCTCATTTCCCCGATCCTCGTGGGGATCTGCCCCGAATGGGGCAAGGATGGTGATAATTTTCCCTCCGAGGGGACGGGGATGGGGAAATTTTCATCCCCATTAGCGGAAACAGGGCGGGGAGTGCTCCTCGTCCCCGCTTCGTGGGATCCCCACTAATATGTAATATGTATGCATACATCTATATATTAATATTTTTAAAAATATGGTTGAATATGTTTGAATATTTTCTAATACGATTGTAAATGTTAATTATTTTATTTTTATTTTTTTAAATAAAATAAAAAACAAAAACAAAATGGTTAGCATTATAAAGAATCACGGGGAATGAGGATCCCCGTGGGGATGGGAATGGGGATAACCTTGTCCCCGTTAGCGAGGACAGGGGCGGGGGTGGGGATGGGGAGGCCCCATTGCCATTCCTAGGCAAGGGTAGATATTCCCAATGTGCAGAGATATAAGGTCTTATGCAATGGAGTAAGCATAGGATTCCCTACAAATAAAAACTTTTTACATACCGCAAGCACGGAAATCTATATCTGCACATTGGGAACATTCTCCATGAATTTAACACACATGTACGGAAATATTCTCAATATACTGGATTCTATGTTGGTGTTTGGCATTGATGTCGTTGTTTCATAGCCGTTTTCTAAGAAAATGGTGTTGTTTAGATGAAGATCTGTTATACCGTTTTATGAGAAAACGGCTCTTTTTATTTGTTTGGCATCTATGCTGCCATATAGAATTTATCCACATTACCCGATAGCTCATTTTTGTTTAGTTCCTTTTTCAGCATTGATCCACATTATCCAATGGTTCACATGTTGCCACATTGGTGCCAGGTCATGACACAATTGACAGCAATGGTTCCAAAAACAAGAAAACGCCAATTTTGACGTTTTCTCAGACCACACCTTCCTGAATTTCAAGGCGTGGTTATTTTCAAAGAAAATGGTCCCAAACAAGCCTGTAATTCTTGGAGCACCGACTGTTTTACTTTTCTGATATGGCACCGACATGGAGCCATTTTCTGGGACAATGGAATCCATGCCAAACACCACCTATATAAACAAAGTTTCTACTTGCAAAAGATCTAAGCTTGTCTAAATCTAGTACTTGCACCGCTAAGTATCACAATCATGGGTGAACACACCATTGTTCTAATTGTTCTAGGAGATCATTAGATCCCACGGCCCCCCTTGAATCTGGTTCTGCTGACCACAGGATGATGATGGTTACAAAATCCTACAGCGGCACATTGGCAACATCTTGTACTTTATATTATTATTCATGGGAAGACGTTTTTCATGTACAACCATATCAGCAAATCCGGAGTTCTGAACTCTTCAACACCAATCTCGTGTCCCCTCCCTCCACCTTACTTTTAAGGCTGGACTCTTTCCCCAAGTCTTTGCTACAACCAGCTAGAGACTAGCGGTAAACTAGTTGGCACCTTCAATAATAGTAGGGCCATGTTCGGGAGTGTTTAAGTTAAAATAAGTATTAATTGAATAAGTGTTTAAAAATAAGTGTTTATTCGAATAAGTATTTATTTGTATTTGGTATCTAAATTTTTTAAGTGCTTATTTTTTAAAATAATCATTTATTTTATATTGGGCATTTGGTAGTATTTTTCTCTAATAAGTACTTAAATAAACATTTGTGATTATTTTGTCCATTTTTTTCAAGTTTTCAAAATGTACCATTTGAAAGCACTTTTATTGAATTATTTTTATAAAAATACTTTTATGAAAGCATTTTTATGAAAGTACTTTTATAAAAGTATTTTTTATGAAAGCACTTTTACAGAAGTATTTTTGTAAAAGTGCTTTTGTAAAAGTACTTTCGTAAAAGTGCTTTCGTAAAAGTGCTTTAGTAAAAATATTTTCATAAAAGTGCTTTCATAAAAGTACTTTCGTAAAAGTACTTTTATAGAAGTGCTTTTGTAAAAGTATTTTCATAAAAGTACTTTTATAAAAGTGCTTTAATAAAACTTATATAGTTCAGCTAGGGATAATTTCATAAGTAGTATTTTAAAATTCAAATAGGGATAATTTTGAAAGAAAAAAAGCTGAATAAGTGCTTATTGTATAAACACTTGAAAAAATTGGAAATTTAGGTTTAAAAAATGAGCCTTTATTTTTAAAATAAACACTTATTTCAAGCTTATTTCTCAAATACCAATAAATGCTTAATAATCCAAATAAATACTTATTTTAAGTAAACACTTATTTTTAAACAATTTCAAACGTGGCCTAAATACATATTAAAAAAATACATTATTCAATAATAAATGAGACAGCTGTATTTTTGGCTAGACATATTAAGGATACGATCATGGAAACAGCCTCCGGTGTAACTAGGGTTTAAATCTTGGAATTTAAGGACACCATCTATTTAATATAAATATGTAAATCCATAACCTTATGCCTTTTTTTTTTTCTTTCACATTTATCAGATTTGGACATTCGATATATTAAATAGATTTAGACAAACCATAACCTCATGCATTGGGACAGGACTCAGGTTATGAGTTTAGACCCCCTAATGAACTTCCTTTCTGTCCTATGTTTCATGTTTGGAGCAATGGATCCCACTGTCACATTTTGGGTCTTTCTTCTAATATTTAGGGATAAAAATGGAGAGGTTTTTGTAAATTCTAGGCTCTATCATACCCTATTTGTAATTAAGTTATAAAATCCCAAAAACCCATGTCTGCCCTAAAATACATGTTTTAAGAAAAAAAGAAAAACCCGTTTCAATCAAAGCGGAAACCCAATAAGTAGGCTAGAAATTGCCATTCCTAATTGGCTGATAAAATATCTATCTGGCTTTTTAACCATTAGATATTGTTTTATTTGGTGGTGGAGATTCAACTACCAATAAATGCAAGGTCCGATTGTCGGTATTATTGCTGACACCCACGTGTTTAATTCATCATTTTCCACTGAAATTATTTGCTGAAAAAAAAAGATAATCTTCTGTAGACTGTAGTCTGTAGACACACAGCCACACTGCATAGTGCATGTGGGCCTGCCTCCTTTAATTCGCACCACCTGTTTGTTTATTACAAAGAATGAAAGAAAAATAAATAAAACAACCAAAAAAACGAAGTGTGAGTGGAGGGCTAAATGGTAAATTGAACTGGTTGGGCTTACATTACGTAACTTGCCACCTGTCCATTCTTCATTCATCAGGCTTCAGGCCCCATGCCATCACCGAACCAAAAACCAGCGGCACCACACCACCTGAATTATTAAAATTCATAACAACTGGCAAAGGTAAGTTATAAGTGTCATATACTATCTAATAGACCTGTTCATGGGCCCAGCCTGGCCCGGCCCGCACCCTGGTCGGGCTTGGTCATCTAATTAGGCCCGTGGGTCTGATCTCGGGCCTAACACAGTAAGTTCAACTGTGTTTTGGGCCAGGTTCGGGATTTGTCAAAAAAGCTTAGCTTGAGCCTAGCTTAGCCTGATTCAGCATTATATATTATGTATTTTATATATTATATAAAATATATTAATAATATAATATTTATTGAAATATATATATATTTATAATTTAATATATATATTTTTTATTTTTTTTCTTTATAATTTCTCTCTCTCTATTCAACCGCTTCAACAGTAGTAATAGTATGGGCTAAATTTTGGGCTCGGGCCTGGGCCCGGGCTTCAGGCTTTTTATGAGGGCCGGGCTCGGGCCCAAGTTGTAGGCCTGATGGTTGGACCGGGCTCAGGTTTGAGCCTTAGAAAAATCTATTATTACAGTGAAAACCTGGCCCAAGCCCAGCCCGGCCTGGCCCGGCCCTTGAACAGGTCTACTATCTATCTCTGACATATCCTAACCTATTTTGACAAAGGATCTGGCTCTTGACAGAACGCGCCTCACACCGACCTCGCAGTCACATGGGATCCTTTTCATATTTCTGATTCTTTGGTAAGCTAATGGGCCCACTCTGGCACTCCCATCTACGTGCCCAACTGTCGCCCGGATCACTCAAAAGTAAAACTCAACCAATAAACATACCCAACGAAATGTCGGCCGGTCTAATGACCAATGTAACCTTGATTTTTGACCAAGGCTTCCCTAACATTTGGGGCTTTTATAGTAATTTCATTCATTGATTCTAAGTCTCTAATCGAATCGAAGAAGGCGAAAAGCTGTAGGAGCCAAGCAAAAGCCAAAATTGGGTTAGCCGTAGAAGCCGATGACCGGTTGGGGTTGGTAGATTACCTGCCATTTCCGGTAAAACTATCGATTGATTTGATTTTCAATTCCTAATTCCAAGCCTACCGCCTACCATCACGATGACGATGGTTCGTCTTTGACGGAGTGTCACTTCGCCCACCGACTCAGGCAAATCCTAGCCGTTGGTTTTCCTGTCATCGAACGGTACAATTTTGTCGGTGTAATGAACAACGACCATTGGATCTGGATCCCACCTATCAGAAGGGAATCTCGTCTAAACTCCGAAAACACGCATCGGGCCCGCTCGTCTATAAATAAGGACTCGAAAGCTGAAGGTAGTCGTCGCCTTGAGCTTCGCAGAAGAAGCAAAGATCTGAAGCAGCAAAATCTCTGGGGTTACTCCTCTCTGTCGAGGTATCACATGCTTCCTCTCCTCTTTCGGTCTTTCTTGTTTGATGTTCATCGATTTTTAGTTGAAATGCCGTGTTTTCCTCTGTTGTCTCTGGATCTTCGTCGTTGTATCTCAAATCTTGTGTTTTTAACTTGGTTAGAGTTTCTTTTTGAGCTGAAATTCAACGGATCTATTTAAGGAAACCCTTGGTTTTCTACGTATTTTCTTTGATTTCTTGGAAAATAATCTCTGAAATTGTCTTCTTTGTGGAAGTTCATCACAGATCTGGGCATATTCATTTTTGTTCCCCTGCTTCCCTAACAGCTACTAATAGTTGTTTTGTGGGAGTTCGTTTACTGGTACTGGTTTGTGACTACAACGTTAGGGTCTTGTTGAAATTGCTTTGTATAGTCGAAGATCTAGTTGCTTCTGTGTGAATTTAGATATAAAGATGCATTCTACTAGGTCGAAACAGAGTATTGTGGAACGTGCTGCTGTGGTTCTGTTCTTGAAAGTGAGATAATCCATGTTTGGTTTATTGCATTTCCAAGTCGATCTGAAGCAAATTTAGTTCAAACTCGACTTTCCCTTTCTGTCTCTCTATGGGTCGATACTATGTTTTCGGATACTTGTCTTCTTCTAGAGTTCATTTTAACCAATTGACTTACAGATTCCCTAGAAAATGCCTTCTCCTTGTTTTAGCGGTTCTTCAACATTACCTCAAATCTCCGGAAATGCATACTTGTGTATAGAGATCTGATGATCTCTCCCCGATTAGTTTTTAAGTGTCACAAATCCTATATTTTCGTTCAGAAGTGTTGTACGAAAAATTAGTAGCTTAAACCCCCTCTTATCTTGGTAGCTGTTTCTTTCCCCTTCTTTGTTCGGAAATCAATTGTCGGTTTCATCCCTAGATTTTCTCTCAAGAAAATGATTTTCTCCCTCGAAACGGCTTTGATATGATTTCCTGCCGGATTTTACAAGCTTCAGTTGGGCACTTGTTTACTGGGTTGCCTCTTCAGGCATGATATGGACATCTTCTCTTTTCTTCACTTATTTGGGCTACACATATTCTTTTTCTGATATTCTCCTCTTTTGTTGCTACTATATTCTTGGTGATTGAAATAACTGTGCGAGATCTGCGATCTCGTGAAGATTTGATTTTCCTTTTGAAATTGAATTGATACTTTTGTTCTAGTGCTCTTGCGTGCAAATTGATATATCTTGCTTCTTTGCATCTTGTGCTTGCAGCTTTGAGAAATGGAGACCTTTCTATTCACATCCGAATCTGTGAACGAGGGCCACCCAGACAAGCTTTGCGATCAGATCTCTGATGCGGTGCTCGACGCCTGCCTTGAACAGGACCCGGACAGTAAGGTGGCCTGTGAAACCTGCACCAAGACTAACATGGTTATGGTCTTTGGCGAGATCACTACCAAGGCCAATGTAGACTATGAGAAGATTGTGCGAGACACTTGCCGCTCAATTGGGTTCGTATCTGATGATGTGGGTCTTGATGCCGACAACTGCAAGGTCTTGGTCAACATCGAGCAGCAGAGCCCCGATATTGCCCAGGGCGTCCACGGCCATCTCACCAAGCGCCCTGAGGAGATTGGTGCTGGTGACCAGGGCCACATGTTTGGCTATGCCACCGATGAGACCCCTGAGCTGATGCCACTTAGCCACGTCCTTGCCACGAAGCTCGGTGCCCGACTCACAGAGGTGCGGAAGAATGGCACTTGCCCTTGGCTGAGACCAGATGGCAAGACCCAGGTCACTGTTGAGTACCACAATGAGAATGGCGCCATGGTTCCCATCCGCGTCCACACTGTCCTCATCTCTACCCAGCACGATGAAACAGTTACAAATGATGAGATTGCAGCTGACCTCAAGGAGCATGTTATCAAGCCAGTCATCCCTGAGAAGTACCTCGATGAAAAGACCATCTTCCACCTCAACCCATCAGGTCGTTTCGTCATTGGTGGACCACATGGTGACGCTGGTCTCACCGGAAGGAAGATTATCATTGACACCTATGGTGGCTGGGGAGCCCACGGTGGTGGTGCCTTCTCTGGAAAGGACCCAACCAAGGTGGACAGAAGTGGAGCTTACGTTGTGAGGCAGGCTGCCAAGAGCATTGTGGCCAATGGGCTTGCTCGTCGGTGCATTGTGCAGGTCTCCTATGCCATTGGTGTTCCCGAGCCATTGTCCGTCTTTGTTGACACATGTGGAACTGGAAAGATTCCTGACAAGGAGATCCTTAAGATTGTGAAGGAGAATTTCGACTTCAGGCCGGGAATGATTGCCATCAACCTGGACCTCAAGAGAGGTGGCAATGGTAGGTTCTTGAAGACGGCTGCTTACGGTCACTTCGGTAGGGACGACCCCGATTTCACATGGGAGGTGGTGAAGCCCCTCAAATGGGAGAAGACCCAAGCTTAATTGATATTGATTGGCGGCCTATGAATCTGGATCCTTCGCTCTCCGGTCTGTTCTCGGCAGCTAGTAGATGGTTAATTGCTAGCCTGCTGCTCTCTAACTAATAGGGACTGCGGAACTGTTGTTTTCCTTCACTATGATGATTATTATGTTACGCTCTGTTTGTTCCTCCTTTTATTTTCCTTTCTTATTTGTTTCGTTTTGTTTTGTTATCCGTCTTGGTGCTGAGAGAAATGTGATTTTTGGAAAAGAAAAAGAAGGGAAGAAGGGAACTCTACCTTCTTTCATCCCTCTTCATAAATTAAGATGTCATTTATCTATATGCTTTCCGCATATGAAATGATATGATTCATGTATAATAAAATTTGTCTCCTCTACCTTTCTTTAATTTGGAAAGAGTTGCGATGTTGCGCGATCCGGGCACTCCTAATTGGTCGAAATTTGGCTTCTAACTGGCGATGGAGGGTATTTGAGGAGAAGGATGAGATGAAGAATCCTCGGGGATCTCGTCCGGTGGGAACACTCCGATGCTTAAGTTAGAGTTCTGTAAGAAAGTGGAGAGTATGGAAGAAGTTAAGAATGTAGAAAGCGTAGAGATTGATATTATCCTGGCCCCTTGGGGGCTGTGGTCCTTTTATAACGGGCCTCTACCAAATCAGGCGCAACCGCCATTGCCAGATCGAGTGCAACCGTCATTGTCCTCCTGTGACAGCCACTATTTCCGGGGTTGAGGTGGCAGGCACGGGCCGTTTCTACAGGATGCGTACCTGTCGGGTATGAGATACATTTCAGAGGTGGCAGGTATGGCACCGCCTGCCAAGAGGCAGGGGTGCAGCCTTCAGGTAGTGTTGCCAGAGATATTTTTTGGACCTTCGAACTATCTTGAGCCAAGCTGTATTCTGCCAAGCTTCTTGATGCCGAGGTACTGGTGATGGGCCGAGCTGCTATCTACCTGAGGCACATCCCCAACAGAGGAGCCAAGGGCGCAGGCTCGTGGTGTCCCTACTTCGGGACACCCAAGTCGGATCGGGGTGTTCCCTTGGGAAAGGCTTAGAGCTCATCGGGAAGAGCTCGGGACCCAGGAGGAGCTCGGGCCCTGAGAGGAGTTCGGGATCTCCCACACTTGGTGAGAGTCAAGGTTGGCCGGGCGCTAGTCCCCGATGAGTCGCTTAACCCGCCGAGCGGCCAATGTTGGACTCGGTGCATCCCTCCCGTCGAGTCACAGTTGTGTTGTTAGGTTGAGCTGTTCGTCGAGCCAGATCACACACGTGTCCCTGTGCTACGAGGTCGGGCCAAATCACCCTCCATCAAGTATAAATATAAATATGTACAGAAAACAATACAAAATATAAGGTTTTGCACCCTTAAGACTCAATTTGGAAGGAGTATAAATACAGACAAAATGATTAAACTAAGGAGACTAAGTAGTGTTGTTAAAACCGGGGAAAAAGCTGTATATATAGGAGTTATGGAATCTCAAATTCATCGGGTTGACTTGGCCGATTTTTTATGGTTTTCGAACGTAAACGTTGGACTAAAATCAGAAACCGTGTTCATATTCCACAGAAGCGAAGCCGCTTCAATCTTGAAAGATATATTTCGCACCGTCTGCCTATGGAGCTGCAACCTGTGTTGTCCAAGCAAATTTAACTAGCTAGTCAATAACCATCTCAAATCCGAACGGGCTTACTCACGGTTTGCATTATCATCATATAAAGAGGTTAGAGGATATGGACAATGGAATCTCAGTCATCAGTTGCCGGCGGGAGTGAGACTGGCAATCATATTGTTCTCTCTCTCTAGCTACTTCAAGCCCTAACTGTTTCTCATATTAATATTTGTTTTGATTGTTTCTCTGGTCAATCTGCAAGCCCTGTCTTAATTCTACTGCCATCTCACAAGAGAAAGCAACCTACAACCACTAGGGGGAGAGCAGGAAGGGTGGGGGGTAAGGGTATGTTTGGAACCGTTTATGTTTATTGAAAAAACGGCTTTACATCAGCGCCATATCAGCATTCAGCATCTGGTGGGATAAACGTTTTTGGCTCAAAAAACACTGTTTGATGCACCCGTTTACTAAAAAAACGCAACTAAATGTTTATCCATTTATTTGCATTAGTTTTTGTGCATATAACCATTGGGTCCAACGGCTGGGCGTTTCATGAAATGCCGAGCTGAAGTGGATCCGATGTGGCCGCTGACGTCATGCGATCTAGACTTCGTGGACGCCAAAAAACGCGCTAAACTGATTTCACCTCGAAAGCCTCGTAGCCGGTTTTCTTGAGAACTGTCAAATTGCTTCGATCTTGACCGTTGGTGCCTGGGCCTAGTGGCTATAAATAGTGGGGGACCCTGGTCATTTTCTTCCGCCACTAAGTATCCTTCGTCTAGCTTGAGCTCGCATCTGGAGTCTTCAGCTCAGGTCTTCTAACTCGTCCAGTTCTAGTTCGGTTGCATTTTTCCTCGGTGAGTCCCCGAGCCTCCCTTTCTCCTTTTGCATTTCATTTCATTCAATGTCTAGCGGGGATAGTCTCTTAAACGAGCCCGAGGTGGGTACCTCGGGTCAGGGTGACCCCGCTGTTGCCCAGCCTTCCCACGAGGCACGGGTGACCTCGGGTAGGCTGGCATCCACCTCCCACTGAGGTCGGGTGCCAGATCAGTTCGGTCCGTCCACTATGACGCTGGAGAGACTTCAGCACCTCATCCAACACTTCAACCTACCTCAGGAATACTCATATAGTCTTCCTACCGGCAACTTCCCTTGGGAGCATGGTCTGGATGAGATCGTGATCTTTAGGGAGCAACTCGTCGGCGGGCTTCGTCTCCCTCTTCACCCCCTTATCCCCGAGGTGTTGAGACGCTTTAACGTCACGTTGGACCATCTCCACCCAAACTCTATTCGAAACGTGGTCGGGACTATCTCCCTTTGTTTCGAATACAACATTCCCTTAGATATAGATATCCTTTGTTCTATTTTGTCAATAAAGAAGAGCGCCTCGGGCGTTCTCCCCGAGCACAGGTGGACCTACTATCTGTCCCCTCGCCCGGGCTTCAAATTGTTACATAAATTCCCAAGCAAGGTCCCGGCCTGGAAGCCGGACTACTTTGTAGTCCGGAGCAGCACGGGGTGGCCCTTCCTTACTAGCTGGAGGGTGGCTACTCAAGACCCCGGCATTACTCTCGACGGGAAGACGAGGGAAACACTCCACTCATGGGCTCAGGTCGGGTTCGATCACAAAGATTACATTGCCGAAGAGAAGCTCATTCAGGCCGGTTTGAGCCCGGGTAGGTCTATTTTTACCTTAGCGTCTTGCTTAATCAACTAAGTGTTTTCGAGCTTACTGACATCGAGCTCTATTGCAGGTCCCATGGAGGAAGAGAAGATTACCGGTGAGAGGCTCCTTTGCCAAATGAAGAAGAGGAAGAAGCGAGCCGCCAAGAAGGCACGCATAGAGCCCCCAAGTACCCCCGCCCCTGAGCCCGACCTCCCACAGGTTCCTTCTTCGGGGCCCGGGCTCCCATAGGTTCCATCTTGGAGCCCGAGCTCCCTAATGCTTCTCCAGTGATAGATTTGGAGGGGGACTTACCATCTCAGGAGCCTAAGGTGGTGGCAGAGCCGGTCGCTGAGCCAGCTGGTGACCCTTCAGTATGACAGATACCTAAAGCAGGCTTTGGCTGCTGAGGAGTCATCTCGCGCAACTCATACTGATCTGAGGGCAGCTCGGTGTAAGATCCATCAGTTGGAAGGTGATGCTGCAGCTCAGAAGAGCTTCATTGAAGTTCTGCTGTCAGAGAAGGAGGAGCTTGCCCGCGAGAGGGACAGGCTGAAGGCTGAGGTGAGCGATTTCAGAGCAGGCCAGGAGGCCTTAAAGCTCGAGGTGGAGAGCCTCAAGGCGGGTCAGGAGGCTTCGTAGCTCGAGGTGCAGAAATTTAAGGAAGCCAAGGGGGCCCTAGAGCACAAGGTGGAGTACCTCAAAGTTGATATTAAGGAGAAGACCGAGATCTTCGATCAAGCTCTCGGGGAGATGAAGGTCCAGGCCGTCATCGACTACGTCAAATCATCTAGGTTTGACGACGTGATGTCACAGGTCTACCATAGGGGGTTTAAGCTCAGCAGGTGGTTGATAAGGCATACATACCCCGACCTCGACACAAGTGCCATCACCACCGGAGGATCACAGACGACATGGCCCGCCAGGCCATGGATGACCCGGACTCCGAAGAGGAGGGCGGTGATGAGGAGGCTGGTGCTACCAACCTAGCTGACACCCCCGAAGAGACTCCGAGTGAAGTTGACAAGCCTTCAAAGTAGTTGTTTGGTCCTTGTATTCTGGGCCTGCGAGCTCAGATTTACTTTCTCTTTTTCTTGATCCTTTGTACCGAGGTTTTTGTAATGAAAGCACATATTATGTAATGAGAGTACATATTTTGTACTTAGTTTTACTTCCTCTTTTTCTTTACTACTGTCACCCTGAACTGTTTCCCTGTACTTAGTAGGGGTGACCATAAGATTTTATAACGTACGCCGAGGTGGACATAGTAAGGCGCGTGCCCGACCTGTCTACTTGGCTACTTAGGTTGGTGTTTACCCCTAGCAGCGTATACCGAGGTAGGCTAAGCGTCAGAGAGTTCGTACCCAAGACGCCTTTTGTCCTTGGCATACTAAGCCGATGCTAGCGAGACGGTTAAGTCATGCATAGCGCCGAGGTCTTTAGTTAGCTCGGCGCGTTGGCCCTTAGGCTAGAGGGAGCAACTCGTGGTCCATTCTCCTAAAGTCTGCCCCTGCCGAGGGGGTGACTGGGTCTCGTGTTGCCGAGGTCGTCGCTAGCTCGGCGAATTGGCCCTTAGGCTCTAGGAGCAACTCGTGGTCTACTCAGTTCGGTGATTTATGGGTAATATTGTCTTAGGTTGACAATATTCCATGCCCGAGGTACTTGTCTCCCTTCTAGGGTCTCGAGCTTGTATGTTCCTTCCCTGAGCACTCGCTTGACTCGGTAGGGTCCTTCCCCGTTCAGCCCGAGCTTGCCAACACCGGGCTCAGGTACCATAACTTTACGGAGTACCAGGTTGCCGACGCGGAGGTTCCGCTTCTTGACCCTGTCGTTATAGTACCGAGTTACCTTCTGCTGGTAGGCCGCAGTCCTGATGTATGCGAGGTCCCTTACTTCATCAAGTAGGTCAAGGTTAGTGGGTAGCTCGTCCTCGTTCGCCTTGTCATCATACGCTTCCAGCCGCAGTGCAAGGACTTCGATCTTGGCTGGGATGACTGCTTCGGTGCCGTATGTAAGGTTGAAGGGGGTTTCGCCTGTGGCTGTCTTCTCTGTGGTTCGGTAAGCCCATAGAACGCTGGGTAGCTCGTCCGCC